AACTTACAGAACGTTGTAGCTAAAGTTAAACAACATAAATCTAATTAACGAGCAAGGTAAAAAGAGATTTTTACGGGAATATTATTTTATTTGAAAATATTTATTATAAGCTAAATGCTGTAAATATTAAATGAAATGTAGGCAATATAATCATGGTGATTCGACGATATGGAGGGTGCACGATTAATTGTCGTGCTTTACATTGGAAGTGAAGTTGCGAAGCGGAAGGTATTTCGAAGCAGCGGGTTTCACCCTCGCTGTACACAAACTTAAGAAGTAGATGCCGAAAGGAGGGGACACGGTAGCAACGTAGTTAGTTATACTCCGTGCATGCTGGCAACAGCGCCGGTGTGTTTTTCATTTTCTTTATATCACCCTTGACGCTCGTAAAACCATTACCCATGACCAAGCGAACGCAACTTCTGTATAAGCCCTATCGGTGTGCGCGTATAAACGCGCGGCGTCGAGACATTCTTTGATGATACTGAAACTTCTTTTACTTGCGCACTTCTGTAGGTCCGTAAGACGAACCCAATTTCCTCGGCGACGGCAAGTCGACCCTTCGGATTTGTCCGACATGCCCACGGGAAGAATTCAGTTTTCTCGTTTGCGATTGGTTACACCTTTCTCGGCCGTTATCTTTTTGTAACGTATTGTTTCCAATGATTTAACTGGCTGCACGCCGATCGCTATTGCAATAATTCGGCAAATTCTAAAATTATCAAACAACCTGCTATGCTGTACTTTATTTTAGATCTCGAACGTAAGGTGCGTATATTTTCTCTATATATCGATTGCAAAAACTTTGTTGTCAACTTTGTTTAACAGGAGCGAGTGATTTTTTAAAATTTTATCGTAGTTAATATCTAAAATGTTCATGTTTTCTACTCTGGCGAGATCGGAAGAACGAGTCGGAGACTCTGATGTGCAGATAAGTCAGTTAGCGACTCGCTCTAGCGCGTTCCGACGGTGGTGGCGTTTTTTGCATGGGTATTTTCTTATTGCTCTTTCTTTTCTTTTTTTCTCTTTCGCTCCCACTCATTTCTAACGAGTGATTCATCATCGGTGTCGCCTTCTCTTCTTTCTCTGATTAACTGGCTTGGCTGGCTGGCTAGCTAGCTGGCTGGCTGGCTGTTTGGTCCCTGGATCTTCCGCTTATTCTGTTTTTTCTTCTTTCATCTTTCTCTTTTTCCTCCAAGCTACTCCATATACTTGTTTTATTCCTACACTGAAGTTATATCAACACATAATTCTTTCTTGTTATTAAAGACGTACTTTTAGTTTTTCGCATATTCTGAGGCTCCGTCATTTATTAATATTTCGGCTCTGATGAATTTAAGTTCCACCTTATAGCAAAAATTTAAGATTTTTATATAAACTTGCGAATAATACAGAATTCTCAATAAATTACTTATTTATAAATGAAACGAGCGTATGCCATCATTATATCATATCTCAAGCAATATATTATTTACTTTAATGATATCATCTTATTGATTTATTGGCGTGAAGAAAGAGATATAACAATATTTTTCTTCAAATTCATTTCAGTTATATCTGCGGTGTAAACATAGCAGGGGCATAAAGAAGAAATTAAAGCTCTTTTATTTATTTCTTCTATTTCTACTCACCAAATCTTTTTTCTTAAATTGTTTATTTTACAATAAAATTTTAGTAAATAAAATTTATTTTATGGTAAAAGAACAAAAGTACATAAAAAGAGCCAAGTCATGCTCTTTTAGAAAATTGCTTTGCCCAATTGTATTTTTATCATTATCTTACTGTTCTTATCTTTATTATACTACTTAAATGATTACTCATTGACAACATGGCCGTGGTTCATATTTGCAAACTGCTGATGTCTGCAAAAATAAATATTCTGAAACCAACAGTGTTTGAAGAATACTAGTTTACGCGCGCCGATACTTCTGGTTTATTCATTTCCCAATAAAATTCATCATTTAAAAGTGATTCTATTTTACCCGGTAAAGATGAAGGTGTTTTATTTGGTACTAATGAATCTTTAAACGCGCTGAGACCGAGTACTGTTCGAAATATCCATGCATTTTGATTAGTATTGAAGAACGAGCATCGTTCGTTTCGAAAAGTCCACCTTCGGTCCGGAAGGTGGGATTCCAGTAATTCGGTCACGGAATGGATGGGCGACGACGAGAGAGCGAGAGGAACGATGAAGTGGGCCGGGTGAGGGGATAGGATAGGGACGGGAGGGCGTTTCACGGCACCCTGCATGGGGTAGCTTGCAACCTCACGCGACACTAGAGCCATCTATATCCCGGGAGATTTATGAGTTCCTGGTGCAGCGGCTGCTCGTAGCAACTACACGCTACACAATATCGGGTATAGTGCGATGGTAGTGCTGCCCCCTGTCGCGGGACGAGCGCACTGTTGCTCCGCGGGGGGTTCGCGCACTCGCGTTCGTTCAACGCCGTCCTGGCAAAAAACTCTGACTCGATCTCAATCCAAACCCCTCTCCGTGCCATCCACCGGCCCGTCAGCCACAGTTTCGACGATGTATGCATCCATAGGTGTACCTGTTCTGCCCTTGAGAAATCGCATATTTTGTACCGCTATGGTTCCTATACACGGCGTGCGAATTAATATATCTTTTTGGTAACCTTTGGTATATCTGGCAAACGTAAGATAAATGGAAATGATCTGTTTTTTATTATAATATTTTATTTATCATAATAATTGAATAATTTGTACATCGAACAATTAATTTTTCTAATAAAAGATGTAACAATAATTGGAAAGAGTACCAATTACATAATATCTATTATCTAGATTATAGCACACTAGCAATTTGACTACAAAAGTTTTTTAGTAACATATTCTAATATAATTCTGTATACACATTTTAATATATTCTGCATATTTATTTTTAAATGTAGTCTAAATAATATTAACTTTGAACAAATTCGAAAATATTTTAAAAAGAAAATTAATACGACATTAATTGTCATTTCATATGTAAATGCTAATATTTATTCACTTATTATCAATAGATGAGAATTGCGCTAAAGAATAACATAGGTAGTTCCTACATATATAATTAAAAATTAACAGCACAAAAAGAGAGGCGGGGTATCAACCTTGATTTTCATTCACGATCGGCCAAGCGTAGAGAATGGCGAGCCGAGATTTTCAAACAGCCCCCCAGACACAGCCGTCCGTTCGCACTCCGCGTGATATTCTGCAGGGGTAACCAATGAGTATGGCTCGGAGTGGGGCTTCACCCCTGGTGCTATGCGAATACGGGACGATGACGACGACGATATGAGTACTGGTATCTACCTATCTACCTATGCTTCTACACTCCATCCCACTTCACCCCATCCCCCTGATGCGGCCGGTTTACGAGCAACCTGTGGTAACGAGAGCGATAGATAATAACTGCTCCGTGCTCAATTCCACTCCCTCCCGCACCCCCTTCTTAATCCTTCTGTCTTTCTCTTTTCCAGACACGCATCCACACAAAAATACACGCGCGTGTGCGTGTATTCGTATACATATATATATAGAGCCAGCTGCAATCTTTTTATCTTTTGCGGCTCATTTCTCGAATATTTCCTACAATCTGATTGAATAGATCGCACCGATATCGCGTGGAAGGAGAGAGAGAATCGGTTAAGATTTATTCGAACAGAAAAAATACGATTAAATTCACTTCTGTGATATATGTTTTATGTCGACATGAATTTATCATGTGTGCGTAACTTTCACAAAATTATAATATCGATACTATTTTCACTTCTCGATAGGAGTGCCTTGGCGAATTACAGAAAACGCACGACATTGTTTTGCCGAGCCATATCGAGAATCGTGTTTCTGGTTTTTGCGAGTTTTAAGTATGAGAATTTATGGCGGCTTAAAAACTCTAGTTTCTCCTTCGGAAATCCTGATAAATGCGCGCGGGAAGAACGCTTAGGTATGTACGCCAGACTCAGTTTCAGGGCATCGCGTACTCCTGGAAAGGCGAAGTAATTCTAGGCCGAACAGCAAACGCCGACTCAAATGAGATACAAGCGTGTGTAAACAATTTCCAAGTAAGGGTTGTGCGAGTTTGAAGAGAATTCTAGATAACTGTTTATTGTGTACAAAGTTACAGTGATATTTTATAAATATTGATTCCCTTATAACGATAAGCAATAAAATTCAGTGAGAAAAAATTTCATAATTGTTTATAATATAATATATATATATATATCATGAAGATAATTTTTTGTAATATGCATTAAAAAATTCTATATTTATAAAACTTTTAGTTTATTACATAATCAAATAAAAATTTCTGAATGGATATAATTAAAATATAATTACAGTTCATTTGTTGTCTTAATTCTTTCTTAACTAATATAATATTGATCGTGATAAAGGCAAGAGAATGAAAAAAATGGAATCAGTGACGTAAAGTTCTGTTATCTCTCTCATTCCCCATGAGATCTAAGCTAACCCTTTTGCTCTGAACTATTGATATCCCGAGATACCAACACTACTAAAACTCAGACTCAACGTGTATGTGACCGGACAGGGCACCATGTGCATTCATTCTATTACAAAAGAAGCTGAACTAGCATCCGCGGCCCAATCCATCGTGTCCCTAGCACGTTGTATATATAAAAGTCCTAACAATAAGTCAAACTCAAACAGTTGGTCTTACATGACGGTATCGTTCTCTAGAAAGAAATAAAGATTTCTTCATAGCTTCAAAAAGTATCAACATTTTACGTTGTTTTACGTCGTTTTAATCCGATCCATTATAACAAATAAATAATTAACAAAACGATTTATTATATATAATTTAATAATATTCTTAATCTTCTATTAATATTTAATTATAATTTCTTATTGATATAGTTTCTTTCGTATTTTGTTATTGTAAAAGTAGGTTCATCGCTTAGTAATAAAAATATGATACGTTCTAATTATGATAACATATAGAATAAGCTAACACTTCGTCGTTTCTGTTTATGTTTCAGGTGAGTGGCAGGCTGCACCCCGCTGTCTCTGCAATGCCAAATAGATGGTCGATGTGCGTATCTGTCGATCGTCAATTTATCGGTTGCGGCGAATCGGATGCTGCACCCGGTGAGTGACGAACCTTCCCCCACCATGGCTACCTCCCGTAGCTCACTTTGACCGATATGCTCCCAGACCAATCAGTATCCAAGTACACAGTATCATCCATATAAGCCTAGCTCTGTTGTAGTCGTTCCCCTTTCTGGTCTCTCTACCTGTAGTTTCTGCTTTGGTGCAGTAGCATGTAGATAGGGGGTTGAATTATCGAGGGTGGCCAATCAGCCAACGTCCGCGGATCTAGGGTGTCGTTTGCGAAAAAATCGACCGTAAACAGAGTCACATTCTCCCGATGTGCATTGCCGTTAGGTTGTACGCAACTTAAAAACTGAAATACGTAATGAAAAGGCTACAACTATTTATAGGGTTAAAATAAGATGTAAAAAAGGCATCTAACTCTCTCGATGGGCGAGATTGAGTCGATGTTAACAATTAGTTCGTGACGAGCTTAGCGGAGACACGGATTCTTTTTCATAACTCAATGTACAAAACTGCTATTAGCACGATTCTCCTCGTTTTTCTTTGCTTAATATATTTTCTCTCGAAAAATGCGCACTCGATACAACCTCGCAAGAAAGAGAGAAAGAAAAAAAGAGTGAGAGAGAAAAAGATAGGAGTGAGGAAATAAAATAGAACGATTTTGTCTGTTGATGTTATGTTTTTGTTATTTTTTTTTTTTATATTATTTGCGAAGCAATAAGAGAGTGCGTTTATATTGTTACCACTTTCGCTTTGCTAATGGTAATTTTCGCTCATTTGTTATAAAAAGACTGTTTTATTTCTCATTTCGTTATTCCTTAGAATTATTATTTGAAAAACGTATACCGGTAGCAAGAGAGACTAATGATGGAAACGTACTTCTTTCGATTGGTACAAAATATATATATCGATATTCGATAATTTTGTTAATATTGTATAGAAACGTTTATGATGTGCGTCTGCTTAAGTACCTGCTAAAGCGGTCAAGAGTGCGCGGTCTCGAGATGGACAATCTCTTTTAAATTAAATTTGGAAAGGCTCTTTTGGAGAAAGAGAGACAGAAAAAGAAAACGTTTCTTTTTTTCAATCAACATCGGTCTAAAAGAAGCAAGACAAAAAGATAGATTACAAATGCGAATATTGTAATGTATATGTATTCTATCTAGTACCTAGACGCCCCTGCTCTAAAGAGATCTGTGGCGCTATCCTATACAGTAACTCTATTCTAGTTAATGAATGTATACGAATAGCCGCTAAGAGGATGTGAGAATAATACGTAAACACAGTATTTCTAAGAGGTATGTAATGTTAATAGTTATTTATTTTGTGAATCTCTCGGAACAAATATTTCATTGCTCTGCTGTGCTATACGTTATCAATTAGGCACATAGTCCTGTTAGGGGTAGGCGTTACCTATGCGTAGTGGTAGTTATTTGTGTAAATGTTCCGCGTGGCAAATTCTTTTTTTTTTGTAATATATTAGGATACTAACTGTCTACAAATCTGAATCCTGATTATATGTAATCCGACAGCGACCAGGGCCGCATTAGCTGCCTATGACGTATGCGTTTTGAACGCTATTGTAATATTACATTGATTATACGATTGCTAAAAAAATAAATGCGATGTAAACTTAATTACACGTCTTACGCTCATTGTCTGCGGCCCTGGCCGCTGCAGATTATCCCGCACCAGATCAGCTTTCCTTGATCCCCTTATCTATCACTCTTCCGCGATACGAATCAGATTTAAAAAATTAATACGTGCGATTATTGAATTCGTCGCGAGTATAATCGATCATTACATTAATATATTTTCCAATCGACACAACAAGCTATATTATCCGTTTATCTCGTTTTTTATCATCGACGAAAATATTACTTTAATGCGAGCGACATTTTCCGTCGCGTTTCGTTAACAATTCCTTAACGATATTACGATGTAGAGAGTGGAGGACGTGCGACGCTTGCTTTACGGCCTTAAAGCACTCGTTAAGCGACGTCATCGCGGTACAGGATGGAACCGCCTTAACGGGCGCCGCGTTGATCCGGAGTTGAGCTTTCCACGGACAGCCATAAGTCTCGCGACGCTCGGGGATATTAATATGTTATTGCGGAAAGACTCCCTCATGAAAGTCGACAAGGACTGCAAAAATATGTCCTGCGTGTCTCGGCGTCTCCGGGGGTGGCACACACGTTCAGCATAGCATGGTGGATGCCGCTATCGTTCGCTATTCCTATATATACGTGCGCTAACACGCACGAGCATACACAATCGCGTACCCACATGTACAGACGGAAGCTCTCGTTACTACCGTACACGTAGCGGGGAGCGGTTGGGGGGCAGAATTCAGCAGACGCCATTTGTATTAATGAAGCTCCCGACAATGGTGCACGCCCGATGAATTATGTACCTATGTTCGAACCGAACGAAGGTACATAACCGATCTAGGCGTAAGTTTGCTATTGGCCTCACGCAACACTTCCTATTCTCTGATCCTTAGTTATAACTTCGTGATCCTTGGTTCCTTAATCTAAAGGTGAACCCGTTCCTGCCATTCTTCGAAAATCACGTTTTGGAGATTCCATTATACACGTGCTTTCATACCGAACATTATTATCTCCAATCCGAGACATAAAGTTACATTTCTCTCGAAAATCAGTGCTGTTTAATAAAAAAGAATATATTAAAATTTATCTAAGAGAAATGACAAAACTTAACTGCTGAAAAATAAATCTGAAATTAATTTAATTAAAAAGCGAAGTATTACTGAGATAAACCTAAATCTTAAGAAATAACACTTTTGAAGATACATATGTTTAATTAATAGAATTTTATTTTTCTGCGACTCTATTGTGATTTTACGTAAATTCCAAGAGTCGTAAGTTGAAAATCAAATATCAAAATTTATCCAATAGAAATAGAAATGAAGCTTTTATTAAAACTTGTTTTATATATTTTTTTGAATTATTAATTTTAAAGCTGTCGTTAACATTGACTAACAATTAATTAAGGTTTGTATTCTTAAGGTAAAAAACATAATTTTGATCAAAACCGAGAGCATTAGCTGCGTAGCTGCAATCTATTACGTGAAAAGACGTAGCGAGGCATCCATCTCGCCATGGCGCGGATAAAACGACCGCTTTACTTTGGATTACAGGGGGAACAATTTACAGCAGGCACAAGAGCACCTGTTCGTTCTTGAGGAGATGGAAAGGTAGGGACGCGCACAACGCGAGGGGTAGTCTTTTAAGGGTGTGGGAATAGCGTGCTTTGCAGACGTTGCGGTAATTGAATCCCAGTAAGTCCCTCTATATAGGTGTATTCACTTAAATGTATAACACTATTCTCCTCCTTTCGCGCCATCTTTCTTTTGCTTCTTTAATCTTGCCACCTCTCTCCTATCTCGTGCAATGATTTTTCGCCGGTGGTTAGATATTATAAGAAATTTCGTTCACAAGTTTTTTGATTCGACGAAGCGACTTTCGAATGACGCTGCTTTTTTTATCCTCAGTTATAAAATTCGTGTCGTTCTCTTAAGTCTTTTTGTAATTTTTATTGTAATATATAATACATGTAATTCTTATAACACATCCTTTATTTGTGTCATCGATGCATTTTTCTATAATATGTTAGAAGATGAATTTGTGCGCGTGCCATGTGCTAAAAATTCTTACCTTTTTATTTCACAAGAAGGAATATCAGTAATAGGTTTCGCTGTGTGAAAACTCATTCTGCTCATACTCCTCGAGGAGTCTACTATCCCAGCAACGAAATCCTGATGTACGAGCTTCACGTTTCAGCAGCTCCTTGGCTCGGGCCGACTGATATGAATGTGTTAGGTGTAGATGAGCCTAGCGTGCTCCGCCCTCATATAATTACTTCACGCTTCTCTCTCCGTAACCCGGTGCCCTCAGATACTTCCTCCCGTTTCTCCTTCTCCTCCTTCTCTCCTTCTCGTCCCCCCCCCTCCCC